CTAAGGCATTTGACTGCTAACCAGAAGGCTGGCGGTTCAAACCCACCAGCCACTCCTCAGAAGGAAGGTTGGGCAATCTACTTCTGTAGTGATACTGTCTCGGAAACCCAAGGAGGGGTCTCTATGAGTCGGGTCCGACTCGACGGCACATAGCAACAACAACAACAACACCTTCATTATGAGCCATTGTCATTGTTAGTTTCTATCAAGTTGATTGTGCCTCATATTCACCCCAACTATGCAGAGTGGAACTGCTACTTAGGATTTCAAGGCTATGACCTTTTGGAAACAGATTGTCAGGCCTGTGTTTCCAAATGCTTTCGGGTGGGTTGGAACCACCAACATTTTGGCTCACTTAAATGTTTTGCCCTCTAGGGACTCCTAATTATAATTTTAATAATCTTTTTGCATGATTATAAGTCATTTATTTTCCTGAGAATTGCCTTTTTTCACTTTTGCCCATTTGAAGGGTTTTGATAGTTTTTTTCTTATTGATTTGTAAGTTCTCTTAATATAGCAAGGATGTTATAGTCTTTTCATGTTTATTGTAAATGCTTTCCTCAATCTGCTGACTTTTGAGTTAGAATGCAATATTTTTTTCTATATAAATGGAGAGTTTCCAAACTTTATTTGAGGAAACACATAATAATAAGTATAAATTACTTGGAGTTATAAGCCATTTTAAATCTTTAGGATAATACACAGGAATTCTTCAAAGCCCTGATGTAATAATATATGGTAAGAAACAGTGAAGATTTCTACTACTAGTGTAAGTAGAGGGAAGTATTAAGTAATACAAATTGAATCTCACACTATTTAAAGTTAATGTTGTTAAGAATATTTATAGCCTGAGCTAATGTTGGTAAAACACTGATGTTAGAAAAGCATTCCTTTCACACTCGAAGTAAGAGGATGTGCTGCCTGCAGTCTTGATTGTTGACTATGGGTCCTACTGTCTGTGCAGCTCTCCTTGTATAGCCTCAGATGACATGGATGGCACCTGTTCACAACACCTTCTTTTTGCTCTGTCATTAGTGGTTTGCTATTTCACAAGATATGCAAGACACGTGATATGAAACTGTTCTTCAGTATAGGCTTCATAATGGAATGATTATGCTTCACTCTTTGGAAATATACCTTGCTTAAAGCAATAAGTTGGATTAATAAAAAGCCAAATTAAACTCAAATGAATTAGGTGACTAGTCATTTTACTGACATTGTCATGTTACAGAAGGATTTTTCTAAATATTAAGGTGATTAGAATGTGATTCAACTTGGAAAAAAAGATGCTCACATAAGTTTTTAGGAAAACATGCATTACCCAAAGCATAATATTTATAAATAATTGCATGGCAAAGACCCCATCTTTAATTCTGTTTCAAATGTTTATTTTTCAATTTTTTTCAAAACATCTATTTTTTGCCCTTTTAAGAGTTAAAAAAAAAAAAAAAAAAACACCACTTCATAACCCCAACACTTTTAAGATATATATAAAATAAGTGAAACTTTCCTTTGACTTACCTTAGTCCACCCCCGTTGCTAATGTTTATCTGTCTTTTTTGTTCTCCATGTTTAAATATGTATACACTAGTGGAGAATGGTAAAAGATTTTATAGCTCTCCTTACACTGCTACCTGTCTAATCAAAATTATACCTGTGTGATGTAATGTGAGAAGCAACAGGAAGACCCCGTACCTTCAAATGCCTTTCTCACTTGTGTTTGCTGATATTCCACAAACAGAAGAAGAAATTTAAATATAATTGAAAGAAGTTTGAGAACAAATAGACTTGTCTGATATTTGACTTAACTGCATTTTTTGGAATAAATATCTGTTCTCTGGAAGAATTTGCTAAGCACTTGAGAGACTGGCAAGATGAGGAAGAGGGACATTGAAAAAATAAAGGCTAGGCCCCCAGTTGTCCCCAACAACAGGGGATAGTGATGTCCCATTTTTCAGCCAAGTCCCAGTAGTGATGGGATTTTTCCAAATCAAAATATCTCTACAAGCAGACAGACCCAAATAAAAAACTTAAAGAGGTAGGTCCAGAAAGTGAAGAAACAAAACACTGATTATATACATAAAATCTTAAAATGGGCGGGAAAAAAAAAAAAAAAAAACTTATAGTGGGAAGTATTTTATGATCATAGCTTACTATAATGGAATAGTTTTAAAGACCTATCATTTCTGACATGTGATAGGTAATGAATATTATTTGAATTAATTTGTTAGAAAGTAAACATGTAGATTTGATATTAGCTTAAAATGTCTACCAAGCCTTTCCACCATTTGTCTGTCAGTTTGTTGTAGTGGCTTACATGTTGCTGTAATGCCATAAGCTATGCCACTAGTATTTCAAATACCAGCAGTGTCACCCATGGTAGACAGGTTTCAGCAGAGTTTCCAGACTAGGAAGAAGGAAGAAGCAGTTCACTTCTGAAAAAATTGGCCACTGAATACTTTATGAATAGAAGTGATACATTGTCTGATATAGCGCTGGAAGATGAGCCTTCCGGATTGGAAGGCACTGAAAATATGACTGGGGAAGAGCTGTCTCCTCAAAGTAGAGACAACTGTAATGACAAGGATGGAGTAAAGCTTTCAAGACTTTCATTTATAGATGTGGCACAACTCCAAATGAGGAGAAAAAGCTGCAAACATCCATTAATAATCAGAAGATGGAAGGTACAAAGTATGAATCTAGGAAAATTGTAAGTTGTCAGAAATGAAATGGAACACATAAAAATCCTAGGCATTAGTGAGTTGAAAGGGACTGTTATTGGCCATTTTGAATCAGAAAATAATATGGTCTACTAAGCCAGGAATGACAAATTGAAGAGCAATGGTGTCACATTCATCATCAAAAAGAACATTTCAAGATTTATCCTGAAGTACAATGCTATCAGTGATAGGATAAAACCCATATGCTTACAAAGACCAGTTAATACTACTATTATTCAAATTTATGCACCAACCATTAAGCCAAAGATGAAGAAATTAAAGATTCTTGCCAACTTCTACAGTCTGAAATTGATCAAGCATGCAATCAAGATACACTGATAATTCCTGGTGATTAGAATGCAAAAGTTGGAAACAAAGGAGCAACATCAGTAGCTGGAAAATATGGCCTTAGTGATAGAAATGAAGCTGGAGATCACATCATAGAACTTTGTAAGACCAATGACTTATTTATTGCAAATACCTTTTTTTCAACAATGTAAACAGTGACTGAACATATGGACCACACTAGATGGAATACATAGAAATCAAATAGACTACATCTATGGAAAGAGATGATAAGAAGCTCAACTCAGTCATCAGTCAGAATAAGGTCCAAGGCCAACTGTGGAACAGACCATCAGCTGCCTATATGCAAGTTCAA